GACTGGCACTATCCGCCAGAAGACTTGAGAGGAATGCGCAACTCTATGTTGCTCAAAATGAGTCAGAGTCGGAGGTAACGATTTTGCATATGTTGTCGGATACACATATACAATGCTAGGTGTTTAATAGGTGATCTCCCACTATTTGCAAGGGATATTTACTGCAAGCCACTTTGATTGTGCCAATGTAAACGGTTGAGGGGGTTCAGAGGGTGAGAATTACTCTCACTCGTCATGCTGTGGCCCATTTGATACCTTGAAAGCATTGCCATATGGTTATGGGTAGTAAACTTCACTTTTCAAATTTACTTTCGAGGTGAGGCGTGTGCTCTATGGAGCTAGGACGACGCTCGCAAGAGTGACTGCTATCTCGCAGACTCTAAAGTAACAGGCACGATGCCCTTTGCAGGCGTTAGTCAGTGGCTGACAAAAAATACTTAATGTGTGATGTCATGTTGTTCCATGAATGCACCTGGAAATGGTTCTGGCTTACTTCGATTACCACTATTCAAGCTCAATTTCCTCGTGGCATACGCCTCAGCCACTATGCGCAAGCAGTGGAGAAATATGAGTGGCACGCGTTCTGAACTCATGGTATTGGAAGCCTTGAAATGGAATGAACATAGTTTGGGGCAGGCATGCCTATCGCCTCGTTGTTTGCTGTGACGCCTAGAACAAAGTAGTTCCTACCCACACTTTGAGGAATGAACTAGAAAGTAGGTGCAGGAAAGCGGTGCATTTGCACTCGAGTTACCAGTTGGAGTGCTCTTGCTTCCCGTTCTCACTTTTCCTTCGAAGGTGCGAGAATCCGGCTTTACGACTGACAGCCTGGGGTGCTCTTCTTCCCAGCTAAGTCTGGCTCCCATGAATGAGCCTTTCGACTCTTCCACCTCGGATGTCGGCGACGCTAGCTCAAAGTCGCATTCAGATTTGCCGCCCGTTGCCGTCCGTTATATCGGTGATTTACCCACCCGAACGGATTGCAAGAGTAATACGGAACCCTATCCTCCCACCATCTTCGTTATCGACGCGGATGGTAGAATGTTTGAGAGGTATCGATGGGAGGTGGAAGCAGGGGCTGGAATGCCCTTTTTCGCAGGTCAGGAGATGCAAAATAGGCGGTACCGACGAATCATTGCGCGTTGCGATGCGTGGCTTGCCAAGTCAACTCAA